TATATATATATATATATATATATATATATATATATATATATATATATATATATATATATACATATATATGTAATGTATAATGATATATATTTGCAGACTTACATATAATCTAGATATTGTGATTAACTCTTATGGAGTAGAAATTAAATCAAACGTGCTGTAGATATTGTTGTTTGAATCGTGTTCGCATAATTTTTCGGGAAACAGAAACATACTGTAATATCGAGCAGGCTTGATATATGCCAGGAGTTTTTAGCCTGCATATTTTTAGGCATGGTTCCATCGTCAAGCAGCATTGTTGATTATAAAGTATCACCTTGCCGGGCCGTACTATGATGTTAACTTTAATGAAATCTTCAAATTATTACTATGTTCATTTGAGGACTCCCACGACGAGGTCTGGCGTGTTGTTTCTATCATCAGTTTTTTAAAATTACTGGTTTTACTATAAAAAAAGCTCTTGCTGTGTTAACGAGAATTACAATAACTAACACTTCCATTTCCAAGAAATTAAACGGACAAAAAATTTTGTAATGAATAAGTGTAGCAGAATTGCTGCTCTTTCGATAAACTTTTGTGAGTTCTTTTGCTTTCGGGAAGATAAAAATTGTTATTACTACTGAGCAAGCACTGCTTTGCTTTATAATTTCATAAATTGAAACTTTAGGTATGTGCTTCAGCTTTATCTGCGATAACAACTCTTTTCTGTAAAGATGATTTGAAGCCAGAAGTGTCGGAAATGATATCACATGTGGAACACGTTATTTATCGTTTCATCGATTCTACATGCAACGTTTCGAGAAATCAGGCTAGCCTATTCAAGATTTATGAAAAGCGTCATTTCAGTTCGAAAAGAAATTGGCGATTTTGTTTTAGATGAAATAAGATGTATTGAGTTGATAAATCGTTGATAAATAAAAGTTGATAAATCACTTGATGTCGCTGAAATAATCGCTTTATAAAACTCAGTCGAAGATTATTGTAAAACTTCATATGTCCTATGAGATTACAAATATTTCTTACAGTTGTTGGATATTGACACCGTAGCAGTTGATCTTTTGTCCTTGTTGGTTATCTGGTTGCAAGGTGATTGTGCACGAAAATTACCCTATCCCGTGTCGAGTAACCTTTCTCGTCTTTTGGATCCGTTGCATATCACTTTATCGCTTAAAGTTGTCAGTGTTTTTTCCGTGTCATTCTCCCGTCCATCGCCTTTAAAGGTAAACTTGATTCAATATTTTGTCAGATTTTGGAGAACGTAGAAGTTTGGGTAATCATGAAAATTTACCTTGAACTTACATTTTATAATATCCGTGTTTCCAATCGAAAACAACAGAGTAACACTTGATAGCAGGGACTCATTGTTTTTGTAATTGCTACATATACAGCAGTACCCTCCAACTATTGTTTGATCAAAAGTGATATAGTTTAAACCCTTATACTCGTCACGACGGATTGTGTACTTAGGCAGAGAATCTAACATTGAATCTGTACAAAACTTGTGGTAAATGAAAAGTCCAAAGATTGTCGAGCCTATGCACTTGACGGAAGTTTAGTATCTACATCAAATCAGGCTAAAATTAGTTTAAAGTGCTTTCCAGGATGAACACGAGTGTAAGGAATTTGAAGCATGTACAATGTCAGTATTAGCGTCTTTGTTTCGTATTGTGCTTTTTGCTGCACCACAGGATACGGAGGATCTCATCGAAGCTTGTATATTATGCGTTCATCGTATCATCGAATATTTTATGTTTGCAAAGCATTTGCCACAAGCCCTAGTTGAAACAATTGGTCGTTGGACTGCTTGTCTTCTCGTTGATGCACGAAATGCAGAAATTGGTTTGTCGTTGTCTGATTGTTTATTACCACCTCGTCAGTTTAACATTTTAAAGAAGTATTGAGTATACTTTTTTAGATCTCGAAAAGTGCAATGTGGGTTCAGGCGCTAGCCGAAATCCTACGGAATGCCTGTGTGGTGATGAAATACGGTCTTTGAGCGATATGATTCGGATTGATGTTGTCCTAATTCGTAAACTACATGTGGCTCGTTTTCTAGCCCCACTAATTTCAACTATTTATAATTTTCCTTCAAAGGTAACTGTTATCGCTTATTTCATTTACTTGTCATACTGATTAGTCACTTCTCTCTAACTGCATTAAACAGGTTGTTTTTGCCGTTTTATGTCTGGTTGAAAAGGTCCTTACATGACCTTGCTGAATTTAATTATGTCCGTAATCGAAAGATGTGTTGTATTGAATGACTGGATAGATGAACATGGTTGTTCTTACAAATAGTATCAAAGCTTGACTAATTTTTTAAAACTGGTTTGATAAATTTCTTATCCGTTATATTAACTTTTATTATAATTTTTAGATAGGCGATCAGTTATTGAGTGAAGCAGTCCAGTTGCTTATTACTCCTACGATGAAATCTTTAGTAATCATGCACAGACTTGGCGGCGTACTCTTAAGTCATGCTTGGTTTACATATATCTGGTAAGTATACTGTATGCTTTTTCAGTTAGCTTGGCTTAAACATCGTCAAAATTATTAATTGCCTTCTCTTAAACCTTAACATCTGTGTTATGAAAACTGAGAAGGAAGTAAAATAACCAACGTCGAGAAGAAACGCTGCTTATGCTGTAACTTCCAAATCTTCCTAGTGGTCTCGAGACTATTAAGCATGGTGTCGTTCGGGATAGTGAGCATTAATTCGAATTTTTTTACGCTTTGATGCATGTTCTAGAAAGTGATACCACTTTTTTTCTATTCTTAGTACAGGCGTTATCACCAAATGCTACTTAGTTGGTAAACACCCACCTGAAAAGTAAAATTGACGTAAGTTCTACTAATAATCGGACTGATATAATTGTAGGTCATACAGTAATGAAATATGTATTAATACCAGTAGCGACGGTATTATTCTTCCAGGAGGTCGGGAATAACTATTGATATTCCTAGTTATGTAGCCGAAGTGCTTCACGGTTTAATTATGTCTCCAAATGCCGCTTATGATGACGAGAAGATGTTTTTTTGTATCTCGATAATGCTTATAAAGATTTTGCATCGTACTGTCGAAAAAAAGGAGTTAGTGCAGCTGAAGTATTCGATGTGGAAGAACATGGCGATACTGTTGATAACAATGCAAGGTTCTCTTAAAATCTATTTTTTTTTTTTAAATTATGATTTATTTATTATCGATCATGATTGCTTAATTCAGATTCTTCTACTTCCTTACTGGTACCTCAGATAATTTTCGATCTAATGAAGTTCTTCAGCATGGTGTACTCTATGTATCTAATTTTAATCTAAAATTTATCTCTCTCAAGCGCTGGTCTTTTAGTTTGGTGATATGTCTGATCATTAAGATAACTGTCGGCCTTTTGTTAATCTTTACTGTCTTTTCGATAATTTTTATGTTTAGTGCACTTTACAATATCTGCTACAACATTTTGGAGGAAATGAACGATAGAGAAACATTGCGTTTGAGATATGAAAGTTTCAAGTATGCCGTCGCAACAGCCAAAGCAGTAATGACATCCAACATATCGTAAGTCATTGATCTCCATGTGAAGTATCTCCGAAATGCTGTAGGTTTTGATGGAGATAATAATAGTTTCCTCAGTCCGGAAAAATGCTCATTTTTTATCACGTGAAACACGAGTTCACATTATTTGAAAACTACTTAACACTAGCACAAGTTTATTCATGCTCGGATTGTTTAAATCACTTTAATTGTTGCAGACGTGTTAATGCACTAACCGTTTCCTCTTTACTATTGATTTATCCGAGATCTTTATTGGATTCTCCATCACTGAATCCTTTCGTAAAACCTCTTATGGAACTTATTCGTTTTGAAGAAAACGTAACGTTTGCGCAATATGCTCTAAACTCGATACCGATTTTGTTTCGAATAGCTTCTGGTTAAAATTTATTTCTACTAATAGTTTTTGTTGTGATTAGTCAAATTCTTACTCCGTAAATGGTCACTGTTGTCGACTATTTGCTCACTGACATTTCCTTTTGATCCCGAATACGAAGCACTGCTAGAATGATACTAGCTGATGAAAAGTCGAAGAAAGCTATAAGGTTCACAAGATTTAGAAGAGGCCTATGCTAATTGCACTTGTAACGCAATCGTCAATATATAATGATAACCGTTAATATATAATGATGACCATTTTTCAGAAAAGCAACCAAGCCCTCATGCGAAGATGATCAAACAGATAGTTGTGAGTTTGGTTTCATGTACTAATCGATTTCCTCCAGAAGTTGACAGGTTAGCATTCTTAATTGTTGAAAGATATTCTTTGCTATTTTATTTCGCGGTTAAAGTATCTGATATTGGGGATTAATGGTTTCTTTCCGTCCTCCTTAGTCTTTTAGATCTCGTATTTAAAACATTTATGTGTTGGCATATTGTACATATATTTCATAAAACTTGCAGTGAACAAGATGTAGTCTTATCACAGTGTGTAAAAGGACCTTTTTCTCCGCGATCTCAAAATGCAGAATACGTTATTCGTATGTTGGTGACACCAATTGCCGGCACCAATATTGCTTCTCTTTTGGATTTCAGAAATCGCGGTTCCTTAAAGGTGTGTTCTACTTCTCTGTGGCCCTTATAGTATAGAGGTGTGTCTTCGCTTATATGGCTCAATTTAGATTGCAGTTTCATGGTCTTTTCAAAGCATGACATTGTTAAAATTGTATGATCGCCCTTTTGGGGTGATACTGATCTTTAAATTTTGAATCCAGTGAAATTTGTCTATTGATAATTGCGTAAACTGCATGTTGGATACGGTCATACACATTAATCTTCTGTTGAGGTGGTATTGATCTTTGAATTTTGAATCTATTTGTCTGTGGAAATTTCGGCAACTCATACTTCGCATTCCTAACTAGTGAATGTGACCGGGTTCCTATCGATTCGTTTTGGGGCATATGACCAACGTGTATCGACGTACTTCAGCGTTGCTCGCCCCTATCGCTACGAAATGTCCAAGTCAGTGGAGATGTAATGAATTGATGCTCCCTGCTATTAAGCCTTACAGAGATGCGGTACAGCTGTAAGGGTGCAGTGAATTTGAGTGAACACATAATCAGGAGAAAGAAGAAAAATCGCGTTTTACTCGTTTGTCCATTGCATGGAGGGTATTCGTAATATTTGTCATAATTTAAAATCTCAAATAAGACACTTTTGTTTCATCGTTAAGGAAACAGCTGTGTTTATGATGGCGTACACTGTTTTCGTCGATGAAAGTAGGGTACAGCGGCGTGTTCCGCCTGATCTCTCCGACATCGTACTAGAGCTTGGAGTATACCTGACATGTAGGTTGTTTTCTGTTTATTATGTATTCTATTTTTCTCCGCTTTTTTTCTATTGTAGATTTATAGTTTCTAAAATTTTTGCAAGAATCAATTTGGAAGATCTCAAGTTTGCCTTTTTCAAAAAATTTTCGTTTATAGCGGAAAATGCGGTTGTCCGGTATTGTGCTGCTCAATGTTTGAGTAATATCGCTCGTATAGACGGATTTCTCCGATCAGTGTTACAGGCTGCCATAGCACCATTGCAAGCAAAATTGCGCACTGGAGAGACACGGGCGCATGTTCGATGCGGGCTTGTCGAATTGCTCTTTCTTCTCAGCAGCTTCCACGTGGAAGTAATACTATTTTTGGTTTCTTGCATCACCGATTCTATAGTGAAATTGCCGCTTTTTACACTTCTATCTTGATTACATTTATGATGAAGCAAAGCTCTTCTCGTTTAGATGCTGGGAGGTCTTCGTTTGTTGGCTCCAATATCGCTTCGTCTTATGGCAGATAGCTGTCATGTTGTACGTGAAGCGGCAGCAATATCTTTCCGTAATTTTGTACCTTTGATGACGTTAAAAGCAGTTAGTTTTTCTATTCCAGAATTACAGAAATTTTGGTATTGCTTGGTGTTATTGTCATTTTTTGTGGAGTTTTACGGTGTATTTACTTTTAGAATCGAAAAATCGAAAGACATTCAATTCTGAAAAATGATGTGGCAGATGAAATATTTGGTGATAATTCTCTTGAGCTGTTACTGGGTGATCCTAGTCGATTACCAGAATTAAGATTGACTGATATCAAAGGACTGAATGCTTCGACTTGTTTACGGCAGTATCAGCAAGTTTGTATCAATATTTGTATTTCTTCGGATTTGAAAAAACTTTTGTCAAAAGTGGTGAGGAATAGTTATCCTGATTGCTATTTCCATAAATACAAGTTCTCCAAATCACAGGAAGGTATTCGATGGATGTCATTCTTGGAAGAGTATGGGTTAAGTGGCATACTTGCTGATGATATGGGACTTGGCAAAACCCTTCAGACACTCTGTTTATTGGCAATGAAAATCTGCCATAAACCTCAAGCAAAAGTAAGTGAAGTGCTGATAATTTGTACCGATCTAATTAGGTTACTGTTATTGTGGTGATTCTTCATCGGTTTAATAACCTTAGTAGGTTTGTCAGCATAAAAAAGCTGAAGAAGCGAGGAAAGCAATGAGGAGTAACATTAAGAAGTTAAGAGATGTAAGCAGCCGTTTAAGACATTGTCCTGGTCGAGGAAAAGTTTGTTACACAAACAACTTGTTTCTGAACAGTTTGTTACAAAAAGATTTTTTAATCAGTATAATATGCAAGATTATTGAAGGTTCTAATTGTATGTCCTCCAACTTTGGTTAATCATTGGTGTGCGGAATGGTCGAAATTTTTTCCAACCTTATCTCCATTTCATAAAATCGAGGAAGGTTGCAAAGAAAAGAAATTGTCGATGAATAATCCGCAAAAAGTCACAGTTATGTCGTACAACACCGTGCGGTTTTGCACGTATGTTCAGTAAGTTTTGAGCTTATGTTTAAAAATATATAAGGGAAGAAAAAACACAGTTACGATCATCATGTTTACAGCAGTTTGCTTTCAGAAATATAGAATGGTACTACATGATCTTAGATGAAGGTCACATGATAAGAAATCCTACCACACAGCTGTTTAAAGCTTTAACTAACATCAAAGCACAAAATCGTCTCATACTTTCTGGAACTCCTGTTCAGAATACTCCAGCAGATCTGTGGGCTCTTTTTCAGGTATGGGTTTCTTTAGCTTTTCAAATTTTTTCTTGTTCCTGCTTTACAAGATCATTTAATTTCTACTCCCAAACATATGGATAGCATTTATCATATGTTTCGTTTTAGTTCTAAATGAAATTAAAACTGTTGGAGTTTTAGTTGATGCCTTTTATTCCGTAGGATCTTGGTATGGTTTCCAAAATTTTTTGGAGTGGCATCAACGCAGTATGCCTAATTCATTTATTTATTTTTTTCAGTTCCTAATGCCTGGTTACTTGGGGACAATGAGACAGTTTAAATTGGCGTTTTTAAATGCAATAAATGGATCGCGAAATGTTAATGCTTCCGCTCAAGAAATAAAGGTACAACTTTAGCTAATATTTTCAGTGTATATATGTGATATGGGCTATTCATTGAAATCGATATATAAGAAATTTAGACTTTTTTTTGTAAAGATTCACCGTTATTAATTTTACTTTTCCACACACTTATAAATAATTGCTGGTACTTCTGATGCTTTGAAAATGATGTTACGAAATTTTTTTGTTTGCAAGGAATAATCACTTTAAGGAGGGCCAGGATGCGTTGGAGCGCCTACACAAGTCAATTTTACCGTTTGTTATGAGGCGCCTGAAAACAGACGTGCTTGAAGATCTGCCTGAGAAGATTGTGCAAGATTACATGTGTAGTATGACCTCTGTACAGCGCTTTATATACAACCATATTGTCGACATATACCAGTCCTCTCGTCGAACTTCTACTAATCGTCCAAGTTTTTGTGCTCTAGAGACCATTGCTGAACTTCGGAAGTGTACTGTTCATCCTTCTCTTGTGAGTCATAAATCCCTAGAAGAGTAAGTGTTCCGGTGCTTTTTGATTAGATTAGAGGAATTTCATGAGCTCCTTCAAGTTCTCATTTTGCGTTTAGTTATTACTTTGTATACCTAATTTCAGTTTGAACATAGAAAAGCTGAAGGGTTGCGTTGAAGAATCTGGTAAAATAATCGCTTTGCGAGAACTTCTTAAAGAGTGCGGCATTGGTTCACGAGAACATTATGCACTCTCTGAGGAATCTGCAGTACAAGGTGACTTTAACTTCTAATCAGTAGGAAAATTTCCACTGTGTGTTATACGGATAATTCAATGTAAGCTAACTTATCTGTTTAGTACTGGCGTTCACTTTGTAAAATCTGCGGTGTATAATAAATCACTGTGATGATCTTAGTCATATATCAGCTTTTATCTGGAATTGTTTATCAGTTGATGAGAAATCGCTTGAAATACTAAGTCCACTCTCAAATGTCAACACAACTTAGTATATTTTTAAAGATACTAATTGTTTTGCTCACGACCTGCATGAATGGGCTTGCGGGAAAAATAGCCGCAGAAAGGTGCACTTACTCAAATCTTTCGAGTGATCAGTTTTCTTAGTACTGTGTTGATTAAAAGAAAAACATGTTCGTTCAAACATTATAGATAACGAAATATCTGCTACTGGTAACGGTCATCGCGCACTTATATTTTGTCAGCGATTGTCCGCAGTTCAGCTACTTGTGAATCTGTTCAGTTCAGGAGAACTGGGATCTGATATAAGGTTACTTGTTACTATATTTATGGTTCAATAAATCTGGCTTTACAACAAACGTTTCACTAATCAAAAGTAGGGGATGATCCTTTGATTTCTAGATAAGTTATTCTCATGAGTGACAAGTTAGAAAACAGATATTCTTGGGAAAGTGGTTCAAGGTACTATTCCTACACATAATCATGTTTTGAAAAGGAAGAGATTTTGTCATATTAGATTTTAGCTCCCGAAAGCATTTATGCAATTACTCCATTATTTTCTTCCATAATTTTAGATATGCTGTGCTGGATGGGACGGTACCCGTGAATGAGAGACATACTGTTGCTGAAAAGTTTAATATTGATCCTAGTATACATGTATTGATACTTACGACAAATGTATGTTTTTGTTTGAAGTTTTTTTTTTCTGTAGGTCAGTGCTATGACTGCTTCAGGAATTCGAACAAATAATTACTTTTTTTTTAGATTCCAGAGTGTAAAACTACGCTGGTGTTCACTGCAGTTTTTGTTCTGTTGAGGATGTAGCTAAGGCTTAACACCGCCCTTTGGAAAAAGACCGTAACTGTCAAATGTTTATATAACATTTCACGAATTTAACCAATTTATTCGAAATGAACAGCATCTTTTTAGCTTGACTTGAATTTACTATCACTCTCGGTTTTGTCATCTCACATGAATTTTGCTAATTTATGGATTTTTTCCAGATAGGTGGTGAAGGGCTTAATTTAATCGGAGCCGACATTGTTATCTTTTTGGAACACGATTGGAATCCGGTGAAAGATTTGCAAGCTATGGATCGAGCTCATCGCATTGGACAAAGATGCGCCGTGAATGTTTATCGGTTAATTACCGAAGGTTCTATCGAGCAGAAAATTATGCGGCTGCAGAAGTTCAAGACCAATACAGCTAATGTTGGTTTTATAAACTTTTCATGCCGGTGGTAATAAAATTTGGGGAAGCATGAATCAAAAGTAATGGTTTTGATGATCTAAAATAATATAACTTCGAAGTGTTCGGCTCGAAACTACTTGATTTTCTAGGCACTAGTTGGTGCGGATAACCGTTCCTTGCAGACGATGGCTACGGAACAGCTTATGGAACTTTTTGTGATAGACGATGTGTCGCCTGGAACTAGTCTTGATACGCGTTCTTCAAAGAAATCACGTGAGAGTGATTCGTCCTCAACTTCTGATAAATATTTCACAAGTTCGGATATTGGCGAAAAATTGAGCATTGAAGAATTGTGGGAAATGTCACAGGTATTTATTTTAATAGGGAACTAGACCTCAGTTTCATTTTTATCTCAGGTTTATTGTACTTTAATTAAGAGTGTTGGTGTTCACGCTTTTCTAAAAGATAACTTTCTTATGGTTAATGTAATGATTGGGATGATAAATAAGCGTAAATTAATTGCTTTAGGCTACGTGTTTCAATGGCTCCGGTGCATTTGTTGCATTCCCTTTTTCAAAAAGAAAATAAGTGATTGTAAATACAGGATTATCAGCAGTAATATTGTCTGTTTCAGTACGATCGCTATAATGCTTCTTCAATAGCGCACTCCTTTGAAGTACCTGGATGGAATAACAATTCTTCAACATTAATTTGGGATACCGCTAGCAGTAGTGGCATTGTTAGTGATAGTATTGAATGTAAAAAACTTCGGCTTGGTAATTGAAAACTTAAAAACGCGCTTTTAATGTAATTATTCAGTTTCAGTCATCATCATTTTTGAAATCCATTCCCTTACTTTATCTCCTGTTTTTGGCCTTGTGTTGCTTCTTCGTGTATTGTTTTTTCTCCTGAGTTTATTGCTGATTGTTGGTATTTTTGTACATATTTGCAATTCCCCGTGATTGTATCCTGAAAATGGTCTAGCAAGCGGTATTGTCCCTTGATGTTTTGATGTAATGTCTTGCTCAACTGAAAAGTATACTCGGGTATGTAACTTTTTTCCATTTAATCTCATTTAAAAGCTTGTAAATATGTGGTTTTCTATGGATATTTGTGATTTAAAAGCTTGTAAATATGTGGTTTTTCATAGATATTTGTACTGGTGGTGATTTGCAAAAAAATGCTTTGCTAAATGAAACGCACTATACTCGTTATTTATCACACTTCACTTTTTAAGGACTTAAAATTTTTTCCTCCTAGAAAACAAAATAGAATTGATACACATCTTTGCTCTAGGAGTGTTCGAACAGCAAAACTTGGAAATTTTTGAGTCTTGTTACCAGCAAGGGATGCTTATTTTGCTTCAAAATAGGATAGCGCATATATGTATATGTGGGGGAGAGGATGTGCTCGCGCTTAAAAATGATCTTTGTGATTGCAACCCCAAGTGAAGCTCAAGAATCTAGAAGATACAGTTATCTACCAAGAGTTCTCACTAGATTGTAATCATTCCATAATTGTCTTCCCTACATTCGTTGGCGTGTAATAATCAATTTGAGCTGATTTAATAACTTGATTTAACTCCGACTACAAAACCTAAAAAATACTATAAATGGTGCAGAGGTGTAGGAACAAACTTACTCAAACTAGGCTTGAAACATACATTACTGTTTTGATGCGTTGTATCAGTAATAATACATCCATTCAGGAACACTTTTCGACTTCCGAAATTATTGAGGTTTGTTTGTTTGATACCAGTTTTTCCTTTTTTGGAACGAAACATCTGTTTTCGTATGAACTCTAAAATTCTGAATATATTTTACTTTTCTGGAATTTTTGATATAGGAATTTTTAATTTTCCAGATACTACATTACGGAGCAGATCTATTTGTGGAAGAGCCAATTTTGTTAGAATTTAATTTAACAAACAATGGCCTGTTTATACTTGGTAATTTATGCGGTAGTATTCATTCATTATTGCGAATATTTGATGAACATGGATTACCTCCAAGAAGACGCTATTTATTTCTCGGTTAATAGCAGATTTCTATTCCAATTTCAAACATTTTTATAGAAAAATATTTGACCTAATAATTACCGGAATATTTTTAGTTTAATCCCCTTCACGTGTATATATATATATATATACGTATGCATGTGTTAATTATCGCGATAAAAACATCTTACTCGTCCATGTAATTAACGCACATTTGATAAATCCTAGAAATATCTGAATCTCCTTCTTCCTATCATATTTCATCATCTTTTGGACCAAATATCCTACTTAAAGCATTAAAATCACTTATATATGATAGTATATTGCAAATAGTTTGGTGGCACATTTACTTTTAGTAGTTTAAGAGTGAAGGAAGGGAATAGAAAGTGGGCATTAAAAGAAAATGTAAATAGGTGGCTATGTTGGTCAAGGAAGACAACAACTTGAAATAATCATGCTACTGCTACTGATGAAACTTCGATGGCCGCAACATTTGTTTCTTTTACGGAGTAATTATGAGACAGTGGAAGCGATGAAGGCTGATAATGTACCAACAACAAGCCACCAAAATCTTTTCGCTGAACTGGTAAAAATGCCACCGTTTTTTTTTTTCGTTATATATCTTTCTATCAAAAAGTACGGTATCAATAGCTGTATTGCTGTATTTTCTCATTTAATGATAAGATTGGTAATATTATCTGATCATGAAGTTTAGCACGAAGAAATCCTTTTTATGATGAATCAACAACTTTTGATTCGGCTTTGGTATCATGAAATATGTTAACTTTGGCTAGCCTAGACCCATAATATTTAATTTCATCCGTTGATTAAGCTGAAGATAATATACAGCGTTCAATTTTCGCTTGGGAATAAATGGCAGTATCTAATTGAGTTTCTTTGGAACTTCCGGAAATGTATCAAATCGTGTCATTGCATTCAGAGATGTTGTGCCTGAATAAGTTCATGATTTTAGCAATTATCAATTGTCCGCTTTTTCTCATTCAGTTTACACAAAAATTCCTTTGTATGCGCGGAAGTGCTTTACGACCATAAATCGACTTTCCAGCTTTTCCTGAATTAATATCTTAATTTTCCTTATAATCTGATAGCTAAAATATACTGACTGGAATATACTAAAATATACTAAACTTTAACTGTCCGGCTATCATCAGCTAATGCAATGCATTTATTATTGCCCTATGCGAAAATCCACGATGCCAGTTGTTTGGCATAATTTTAACTTCCTTTTTTGTTAAGATTTGACATTTCTAATTTACACTAATTCAGTGTCAGTCCCAATTTCCTTCAGAGGTAAACATGTGTTTTCTGTTCAATCAGATGTTCGATATGATGCCCATTGCAGCAGTTATTTCAAGTATGGTGATATTGGGTATTATTAAAGTATTGGAAAACTTTTGCGAATAAAAATCTTTTTTTTATTAATTGATAGATATTTATTAAAGAAATATTATTGTCAACAATTTTATCATTCGCTCTCTTTATCGCCTCCATTAATCAGAAATATTTTAGAGCGTTACCTGTGCTGCAGTGGTGGTGTAAGTCAATGGATGACTTGCCTTGAGAATATCCGTAATATTCCTCGGCCTACTTATGCAAAAGAAATGAAATTTCTGGAAGCATGTTTAGTGGCAGATATCCTTCATGCTCAACCAAATGCTGCAATCGAAAGGTACTATTAATTTGTTGTTTGGGGAAATGATCAAAGCTTAGATATGACTGGAAATTGTGATTTGAATAAAATTTTATGAACAAAATGTGACCATTTCAGAGCATTTGAACCATCAAGCCTAGGCCTAAGTTATATGTTCAACAAGAAAGGTCTTCAGTCAGTATTGAGTGCACTAAAATTAAAGACGTTAATAAGAACTGATGATAAAGGTCTGATTAGCAAGGAATATCCCATTGGTATTGTTCGAAATTTCAACGATGACATCTGTTTCACTGTTATTACCTCATCAGATCCGCATGTTAGTTCTTGTGAGTTATTCGTATTTTCTGTTTTACATTTTTGTTCGTTATAAAACGTTTCGCGCAAAATTAATTGATTTCTAAATTTAGGTACAACTATAGAGCTCGTATATAGTCAGAAGCATCATGCTCTTGAACAAGTATATCAATTTGAAACCGATGTGGATACAATGATGGTAACCTGCCGTCGAATTATGAGTAGATTAGGTAAAAGCTTTGAAGAAAAGTTCATAGAACGATCGAGATACGAACATTGCAATTGGTGCATGGATATTCCGCGCAGTTATTTCGATTTGAGGTTTCTAGAATTGGCTTAATAAAATTTTTCAAATTTAGTTCTAGTTTTTAGTAAATTCACCCTGCTGTTGATTGGTAGAACTCATGATTCAAAACACTCCAAATTTTATCTGCATAAAACCAGCAAATATTTCAAGAAGAGCCTTCAAAAAATGAAATTTAATAAAAGATTTAAATATCGCCAACATTTTTTGATTTTAATATTTAAAAGTTTAAGTCAACTTTTTTTTCGATATCAGTGTTTTAGAAACTTTTAAATATACATAGAACTTAATTAATGTTGACGTTTTTCAAGAGCCCGTTTTTATACGCATCGTGATATGGATATTTGGATAAGGAAGTATGCAAATGAATGGGCGCAAGCTGATGAAATTTTTTTGCTAAACGATAACTTACATCAATCCAATCCTTTGAATCCCTCTCATGAACAAAGACGGATTCGGCGAAGCGCTGAACTGTTTCCTTCTTTCTATGATTTACGATTTCTAGAAGGTGGCCATCCTACCAAAGGTGGCACTTTTCGAGTACTCATCAATGATGATGGTGATGAACAACAACAGTTCATGAAAACAGTGAGTTCTAAATTATAAATTTCAAAGGAATCAACTCAACATTTTAAATTTTGATGTTCCCGGAAAAAATTTCCCTCACTTTTCGTTGCATAGTCTCTCTCGCTTTCCATTCGTTGATTTCGTTAAAATATTTTGTAATCCATTTGCTGAATCACTTTTACTTCTATTTTAAGTACCACTAGCTTCCAAAATTCCTGAGTAGAATCATGGCTAAGATCAATATAAAGCAATTGCATATTGCATTCTGATCTTTATTACATCAGATCTATCCGAATTCACACTATCTGTATGACCGAGAACCGTTCTCGAGATATGACTCGAGGCATCTGGATATCGATATGACAGGAAGCGATGAGTTAGAGCAGGAAGAAAGAACAGGACATACACAACGGATTAGAGGATTTTGGCAACGTTTACTTTGTTGCTTTAGGAATCGTTTTGTAAGTTTCCATTATTATCATTGACTTCGTATTTTGTCAATATCACAGTTTACCTGAAAAATCTGCAACAACACTATTTCCCAATTTTTATTTTAGCGCAGACCGAGATAAACGGAAGATGACGACGAAGGTATCGAGTTCTAAAGAATGTCAGACTCTTCCAGTGAAATTGATCTTGTCACGTCAGTTACGTGAAAATCACATGTTAATCAATGTAGTAGAGCAGCTTCGCGTTATTCACAAATTTTACATTTTTATCGTGATAGATTCAAATAATACAATTATATTTGCATAATATTTAAATGTATTTCTATATAATCACTTCAATGCTGTGCTTTTTCAATTCCTTCTGTAAGCAGTTGGCTGGAGCAGTTGGCTGGTTTTTCTTGGTATTATTACCTTAAGTATTGCATTTGAATGTACTGTTCCTTGGGAAAGAAGTGTGTTATAAATTTATCGCGGACTTCGGTCATTGACGACAAATAGTTTGTCGTACCTTTTCATATCTCTTTTTAACAATTTGAAGAAGAAATCGTTGCTGTTATGGAACAGGGAAATATGACAAATCCATCAGGAAAACTTAAATTAGGAATGATAAGTGGTAAAATCATGCAGCTGAAGTTCCTTAATTTAAGCCAAGTGCGGATACCATGTGGAAGATTAATAATCTGAGAACTGTTAAAACAGGTGCACGGTAATGAGGGAATGATCTTCACTATGAGTTAACAGTTAGCAAACATTATACTTGATGATTCTGCGTTAGCAAGCCAGTGGATCAAAAGGGATTTTAAATTCAACTCTAAATTTTAATGTTCTCTTATTGCCATTTTAAGCAAGCTTGAAATTTTAGCCATTTCAACCCCGACTCTGAGCGCAAGAAGTATACAATTGCGAATCATCGCTGGTTATATGGGAGTTACGTCTAACTCGTAACCCATTTAAGGTTGTAAACAAGCGGATAACCTGTAAAGCCGCGTTAAATCTTGTGCTGTCGCGCGTTGAACAAGTAACTGTTGTCGATTTTGGTCTTGTTTATCATAGGTCGGAAACGGGCGAGTGGGATTGGTTGGGGTGCGTTTGTTTTTCTTCGTGTGAAGCTTGAACTCCAACGATGTTTTAGAGATGAAGCGGGGGATGACTAAGGCGTTGGCGTGTGTGGCTCAAGAATGTGATGATCTTGAATCAAAAGGATCAGAAGGGAAACGTATGAAACAAAATTGTTTGATGGATAAACTGTACTTCAACAAGGTTAGTTTCAACTTCTTACGTGATTATATTGCCGCTGTTTAGTATTTAACTTCCTATCTTTCTTCTTAACTTCTATCTTTTTTAACTTGTACGGGAAAGAATTTTCCTGGAAAAGACATGTTAATCGCAGCTGGAGATTGGAGCAAGAAGGGGGAGGAGGTGTGAGGTACGGGAAGGAGGTATGAGGTACGGGGAGGAGGTGTGAGGTACGGGGAGGAGGTATGAGGTACGGGGAAGAAGTACTGGGGAGGCGTTGAAGCGCTTTATACGGTAAACCGGTGAATATTTTCTCTGTTTCGTCCATAGTTGGCGTTGTTGTCATCATTCATTTGCAGGTTGTAGGTCTAGCGGAACAGTATAATGTCAATGCTTTTTCGTTCGCGGAATTGCTGGAGCTTATTTCGCCCGTGGCATCAATCCATTTCAATTTCATGATTGATCTTCGTTGGTTACTTACGTAAGTACTTCGATATTTGGAACGCTTTGGATATGTATCGTCTTTCGTTCTCGTTTAGAGTCTCAAATGGGTATTTTGTAATATGAAAATTATCTTTTCCCTTGTGTGAGTGTTGGGTTTCCTTGTCTTAATTTACATGCTTGAAATCTTTGGATATTAAACATAAATTACGAAATAAAGGTGTATGTGGTGATTATTACTGCTGGTATGCCGATTTATATAAATTAAAAAGCAGCTACTTATATATTTCTGGTTTTGTTAGCGTCTATTTATACTAATACTCGAATATTACTAGTAAATTTACTAGACATTACGCACTAAAGAGCCTTATTTGTTATCATATATGGTAATCTTTCATCCCGTACTTTTTAACATTCTCTTATAATCTTTCGTCCCGTATTCTTTAACATTCTCCTACTTTAGTGAATGACGTTTGAATCCCATCAATTCCATTCAAGAAGGAATTTAAACTTTGTTTCTTATTTATTGCCTTTTAATTCCTTCTCAGGACGATGAAAACCTCCTATGACACTGTTGCGATGTTGACTATACAGATTGTGATTCCTTATGAGGGAATGGGAAAGCACTGGGCATTCTGTGCTTTGCATTAGCTTTAAAATTTGTTAACCTGTATTTATATTTTCTAAATGTCATTTACAGGCAGTATCCAGGTCGATTACGACAAGGACCAATTACATTAATTGTGGGCGAAAGAATGGGGACTGACTTTACCTTAACTAAAACTGCAGTAAAGCAGTGTGGAGTAAATAACGTTAATGTTGGACGAGCACGCCTAATGATACCGTTCGGGACACATCATTCCAAAATTTCCATTTTTGAAAGTAATACTGGAAGAGTGCATATTATCATCGCAACTGCTAACTTATTGGAAAGCGATTGGAACTTCAAAACACAAGCATTCTTTCATTGTAGTGGAAATGAAGTTAGTAGAATGCATGCTTGATATTATGTTTTACGCAGTGGTAATCGTCTCCTACCTTCCTGTCTGAGAATGAGTAGGAAGGAATGATTTAATGGCCGGCCTGTAATTTTCAAAAGACGTACATATGATTATATATGGTGTAGGATTTTGCAACCATCTAAAAACATGATGTTATGAATGAGAGGTTTACAATGGGAAATATTAAGAAAATGCTTTCATATTGCGAATGTTTTCAGCTGGCTGCCGGTGATTGTCCCGACCGAAATGGGTCAGATTTCCAAACTGATTTAGTAAAATACTTGGACGAATATAAAACAAGTCAAGATTGGGGTCTTATCGAACACTGGCGAGATCGCGTTTCTAACATTGACTTGTCCCAAGTGAAGGCACGAGTTGTTTACTCTGTGCCAGGAACTCATAAAGGTTATCTTGTTCATTTCATTTCATTTTTTGCATTGTATTTTGTATATGTCCACACATCATTAAATGTTTGTTTCGATTTATAAAAATCGACTTGGGAAAAATGTGAAACGGTAGATCGAGATGGCATACAGATTTCGACAGCTTATAGAATATTGTCAAAAATTATGTCTGTGCAATTCTTTGTGGTTCAAACAGTTGAAAGGAGGCAGTTGTTGTTACTTGTAACTTAGGAAGACGTAGTGACAGTTAACATCCTCTGGTATTCGACTTCCGGACTGTTCATCATATCCAATCCTTCTAGTGATTTTGATAGTTTTGGTTTTATTTCGAAGTTACAAAGGCTTAATTTCAGGCGTTCAATTAACGAAATATGGTCACCCGAGATTGCGCGTAATACTGAAGGAATTATTTGGGGATGTAAAGAATATGGATGGTTTTACTTATCATGCTCAGTGCAGCTCACTTGGTAGTCTTGGAGCAGCACCGCAATATTGGCTTACGGGACAGTTTTTAAACAGTCTCTCTGGTGGTGCGGAGACAGGTTTATCCAAGATTAATTACATTTTGACAGTAGGGAGCTCCTTAAGTTTTAGAAATGAAGTTCTTTTTTTTTTTAATCAAGTTTGCTGGTTTTGAAGATGGCGAACACTTGCGAATTATCTATCCTTGTGTGGAAGACGTTCGAAATTCTAATGAAGGATACGCAGCAGGTGGCTCATTTCCTTACAGTAATAGTGTAGCAGTAAAGCAGCCATATTTGCTTAATTTCATGCACAAGTGGAGCAGTGATCATCTGGGGCGTTCTCGTGCTATGCCACATATCAAGACATATGCAGCTTTTGCTAAGGACTCTCTAAAACCGTCTTGGTTGCTTATCACAAGTGCCAACCTTTCCAAGGTGCAGTTCACTCCGTTTACTCGCTTATTTCTACCTCAAAAAAAAAGCATTTGTGACTAGTATTAACATTTAGCCGAAAGCAACCATGTGAAAGATACATTAAGTTATCATTACGATTATCACTGTCAGTCTTTTGTGTTAGTTATTGTACTGTGTGTAGTTTTTCCAGGCAGCTTGGGGTGATTACCAGTCAAAAAAACCACAATTAACTATTCGGTCGTATGAATTTGGCTTGTTGTTCAGTGATCCTGAATCCTTGGATATGTTGCCATATGACTTGCCTTTGACAAAGTATGATGACAACGACCGTGTGTGGATAGTAGATAAGACATACAGGAAGCCAGATATATTTCGAAAAACCTGGCCGTAAGTTATTTCTGCCAACATTATTTCTTCACAGCGCTACTGAACCGCCATATTTCGCATGCAGGACTAGCTCACCAGTATCATATTTGGATTTTTAAGTGTTTTTGGTTGTACTTTGTAACTTTTGCTTCTGTTTGCCGTTGTAGACCAGAAATTTTCCTCTTAAATCACAGGTAGAACTTAGAGAGTGGAATTAGCTTATTAAACATTAAGTGTAACAATAGTTAGAAAGGAATGTGTAAGTATCATCATATCAGTGCCACATTGACTTAATCATAAATATACATATATATACACATATATATATATATATATATATATATACATATAAATATATATAAAATCTTATTTGCATTTTTGAAAATCTTATCAATGGACAGGAAAGTTCGTCTTTTGTCAATTGGATTTACTTCTAAAAAGGAATAGACATTGTCCTTTTCCTTTTAATGAAGAGAATGGGTTTAGATATGAGTTCTCAGTCTGAATCGTCCAAGTTCAGGACTTATCGAGGTATAGGCTGTGGTCAAGCAGCGTTAATACCCGATGGAAGGATATATATTTCAAAAATCTTTAGTCAATTATCCGTCAGTCTCCACAAAGCCCGAATTTCAAACTACTGAAAACTAATAAGTAGGACGATTAGCATTGCAAATCTTTTCTCGAACTCAGTACATTACCGTTGCTGATGTAAAGTTTGACCGTTTTTGGGAAAGCGGGTTGCATTGAGTTACTGAACAGTTTCGGTGGTCTTGATTATTGATGAATAAAATGGAGTAAAATATGAAATCAGTGTCTATTATTATAATGATTGAAATATTCAGTGCACAAAGATATGTAAACTATTCTGATATCTCTTGTTATGTTTCAGTGTATATCTGTAAATAAATTTAATATATTTTATTTCTTATGAATAAATTATTTCTGTTTGCTTATTCAATCCTTATCAATGTGGATATCAACATATTATCTCTCAAGATATGAAGAAAGTTTAATTAGTGGTTTAGATAAAGTAGAGATGTAGCATTTGAAAATTCATTTTTACATGAAGAATTGAAGTTGTAGGAAATGAAACGATGTGGTATTACTTGAACTGTAGCTTGTAATTTATTGCAGAACTGTATTTTCTAGATATGAACTGGAAATCAGCATTATGTGAGGTTCAAGTCTTGTCTGTTTGTAACTTGTAATGATTGATGTGTCACATGTTTGATTTTCGGGATGTTGATTGTTTTAATGGTTATCTTAACTATTGTGATTATTGTGCCAGACCGTTATTTCATTTTTCCCATGCTTGCTTTTCATTTTAATGTACATATTTGATTAAGTAGATCAGATTTTTAACTTCTACAATGAATTGATAGCAAAGATCAGTTGTTCTAATATTTAAGCGCGCTTGGTACGAAATTAGATAGTACTGACTGTCCCTTATTGCTATATGCAGTGTTACGTTTTTTCCAGAATATTTCTGGAAAAATACTGTTTATAGTTGCATCAGGAAATTCGAGTGTATGATTGAATTAGCGACCACGTATTGGTCTTTCTTGAAAAAAATCGTTTCAAATCTTGCAGTATGGCGAAATCGGGGAAGTGTGTCCTGTCGTTTGGTGATACTGTACTTTATGAGGCTGATTTGAAAGCGCTGGAAAATGGACGGTGGCTTAGTGATCCCGTTATTTCGTTCGCATTCGAATATCTCCACACGAGAATTTTGGATGAGACTAAGAGAGACAAAGTTTGTTTGCACATGTGTCATTCTTATTCAAAAAAAAGTATCTAACTGCAAGTTGCTAAAATTGGGACCTGATGAAAGATATTTTCCGCACTCAACACCATTCGAATTGAACTGATAGTCGGTCGTAATTGTACAGGGTAACGAGCGTGATCTGTGCCAACATAATGGGACGATGTATTGTTGAGAGAGTTGAGATCATAATAGAAAAAAGAGGAAAGCAATCATTAGTTTCAGATTAGCTTTATAAATGCAGCGGTATGTCAGCTGATTAAGCTAAGCACACCAGATGAAGTGACAGAGCTCCTCGATGAGCTTACACTTAAAGAAAAGGAGCATGTTATTTTCGTTGTGAACGATCATGATGATCCATCAAGAAGCGGTGGAAGTCATTGGTCATTGCTTATATGTCGCCGCGATCTTCAGCCTCATTTTCTGATCATTGATAGCGCACAGGGAACCATTTCAGCGAATCAGAAAGCGACAGATAAGGTATGTATCTTTTGAAACTGTAAAAGATTTCTGAAAACACGAAATTATGTATCAAGACGGTCCCAACCGACGGGATCAATGAGACGATGTTCGAGAGATCATATCATATGCGGACAGTGAAGGATTAACAGCATTGTATTTGCGTAACATATTGCTCCACTGATGGACAGTTTCATTTTGGTATAGTTCTAATGAAAGCACTGAATGTCCTCCATTCAGAAAAGGATTGAAATTGCAGAATCAGTTAAAAGGTAGAGACAGCGTATTACATCTTGCTTGGAAAGCCTTGTTGGAGTCAATACTAGAAATTGTTATTAAGTACAAAAGTAGTTTTTGTTTTTTGTTTTTTTTCTCATATGTAAAAGGAACACGTTGATTAGGATCCTTACAAGCCTCAACTTGAAACATTTTTGTCTTTGAATTGTGATCTGAATACATTGTGTTAATGTTTAGATGTTCCTTTGATTCTTTTTTTTATTTTTCAGCTGATTCAAATATTAGCAAAGTATTTCGGGCTTCCGGTGGATACACGCATCGAACGAGCCACAAAGCAATACAATAGCATGGACTGCGGGATGTTTGTTATTGAATACACCCGACACTATATCGAGGTTTGTTGAGAATTCATAAGATTTTAGATTTTGCCGGTCAGACAATCAAATCTTGTTCTGTTTTATTTTCGGTATTACTAAGTTCTGAAAACTTTACGTGCGATACGTCATTATTTGTTTAAGAAATAGTTGAATCACTGCATTGTAGAAGTAGCTAAATATTATCAAATGTACTGCGAAATAATAGTGGTAGTAAAGAGGGTTTTGTCAAACTGCACCTCAGGGTATGAATGCATAAAAATTTTTGTATGGCACGTGTATTATAACATCAGCTTATCCTAAAGTGAAACTAAAGATTGAATTAAATTTAATTAATTTAAATATCTAAATATATTGCTGAGCGTATTCTGCCCTCTCTACTGGAGGATTGTTCATGCCACTTCAGTATGTTTGGGAATTAATCTCGTTATAGTTGTCCCAATTTGTAGAGTTTGAAACGAGATGAATTCAATGTTGATTTCACACAGCTGAACGCAGACGACGTTAAAAAGCAGCGAAAAGTGTGGGGTTCATTGATTCGTTCGCTCGCCGAAGAATAGGAGGGAAATATGTGCTATATTTATCCATGACTCTCTATGCTGACCGGTACCTTGCTTTTTGCTGGTAGTAACTAAACGCGGTGATTTTCCAGCTTTTTTTTGATGCTCATCTCACTGTGCCTGTTATTCTTCATATTTCTTTCTTTTTGTTGTTTATGCGATTTGTTTGCTCATTTTTTGTCGCCCCAGTAAAATAAAATTATGCAGTGTCTGAATTAAGATTGCTGCTTATTTTAGCCCATGCTCTGTCATATGCAGTGCAGTCCAAACACTGTCCAAGAACGTCTTTCTGTTCGAGAATGCCGACATTTCTTTCCTTAAAATATTGCTCACAATTTCTTTGCAATATCTCCAAATTTTTTCCCGCATTACGCACTACGCAGTTCATTTAGCACTGATATCATCTGTTTTTCTTTATATTTTCTGTGCGAATTGATGTTTATTTATGGCACAATAACTGTTCTTGTCATCTCAGTCCATTGCGCTACATTAATAATAGATGTATGGACTTAGATGATCAACATGTGTTCTGTTGTTTTTTGAAAGAAAGGACTACAGTGTCAATGAAGTTTATAACTTAATAGAAGTTATGGATTTCTTCTCTACAGTAGGCTCCGTTTTTTTATCACTTATTTTGTCATTGCATTTTTTTTTCCTCTTTTTTGTAAGTATTTTGTGAATTTTTTCTGAGGTAATGATGAATATCGGGTTTGCTATCAACTTTTTATAGTGATTTGTTTCACTTCAGTGTTTAATTATCCCTGCTTGTGTTATGATGCAAGCGTTACTCCTGGGAAAGTTTAAAACTGGAAAGGCGATGCAGAGGGAAGTAGAACGAAAGATCTACAAGGAATTATTAGATACAAGAAGCAACTAGCAAGTGATTTATGTATTGTTTAATATTATGTGTTGTTTATTCAGCAGTATGATCTCCGTTTGTTTGTTGGGCTTATAAATAAAGCATTATACTTTTTTTTGTGATATAAAGACATCCTCGTTATGCTTTTATGGAAGATAATGTATTTTTTAACTCGTTGATATCTGCATCAGAGGATTGTCTGGGTTGATATCAATTAGCAGTCTCTTTATTTCTCTGGAATAGATAAGCTTAGTATTAAGACGGATTACCGTTTATTCAGTGGTGTCGCGAGTAATTTTTGCTTCCTTGATGAGTGTTTTATATAAAATTCTTGGAAATGGTATGTGATGCTGGTTGTTGAAGCATTCTGTTTAATCAAGTTGTTGATGTGTCGATGACTGTTCAGTTGTGATAGGTTAACCTACAACATTGTTTTCTCGGCTTTTTTTAGGGTCTAAAAAGTATTTCTTGCCGGCTTTTAGTTACTTTTCCTGTGTCGATGTACGATTTATTTCCAGGTTGAGTTTACATCGTAATAACATCTTTCAACAGATGGTGCTGTGTTGATTGGAAACTATTTATATAGCTGGTTACAGCGTTATTTTATTGTGGCAGAACTGAAAAGTAGTGGTATTGAAGTGGTGATTAACGATTCATTAGAAATAAAACAAGCAAATATGAAAGGTGGGTATTTTTTTACAGGTTTAGTAGATTTTTCTTACAAATTTCAGCAAACAGTGATTTCATTCAGCGGTGGTCACGTTTTCTCAAAGTCCAATCGAGTATCTACTAATGGATCGGAACTGGGAGCTGATCGGATCTAATTATATACTCTGCATTGCTTCGATTCCTTAATTTTTGTCATGAAACGTCCCGACTCTATCGTGAAATATTAAAACTTATCACGTTAAACTATTTCGAGAGTTTTTATGCGCTTAAATATAAAATTTTTTATTGTGCCGCTGTGCATGTCATTCCGTTGAAGTTCTTCCACATTTTTTTTTCTCTTCCACAGCACTCCCAAAAAATTTTTAGTTATTCGAGTTTTCCTTAAAGTCTGCTTTAATTTAGCGACAATGTAACTGGACAATCAGTAATGCTATTGTTATATGTTATTGTTGTTTTATTAATGTTATCACTGTCTCATAGTTTTAGTTGTTCAATCTCATTCTAGATTTTAAGCAAAAACATGTCAAATTTCATTTCAAATTCCTAGCATGTATTGTGTACTTTAGGGCAGTGTGAAAATTCTTAATCTGTTACGATGCGTAAACTGTTTAGCTTCGTTTGAATCAGGTGTATGAACTCAAAATGTGGTATTGGAAGATCATTTAAACTCTTAATATTTTGAAGATGTGGTACTCAAGAATGCATATACGCTGTCTCACTTCGTGGTATACGATGCGAGGTGGAGTTAATGTAAAAATTCTGGAAGAAGTCAAAAAATCTCGAAGAATCAAAAGCCATTTTTTAATCGTTTCCACTTCCAGGATGTATTCGGAGCAACCATTAAGTAAGTTTTAATTTTAAACTGAGTTTGGTTGCTTATAGTTCCCCACCCGATTATTGTTTTTTCTCACATCTTTTAAGTATAAACTCATATAAATGGTTCATATTGACATATGCTCAAGTTAAACGTCGTTAGCAACCTCCGAACACGATCGTTTTTTCTTCTGATATTTTTAAAATATCAACTGTTATACAGTTCAGATTATAACAATTTCCGATTGCCTGTGGCTTCCGAAAATAACTCCGGTGAGTAGATTAAATTCTAATTTGACAGCTGACAGAAAATTAAATCTCTTGGATGTATCCAAATCCCATTTCGCTATTATCGGAGGATGCGCTACACCAAATTATCGAATATTCCTGGTAATCATAACATACATTTCCCTAGTATAGAAACAAAAAAAAAAGGACTTGTAGATTTCATCATATCCAGCGTGTAGTTTCTTTTTGATAATGATGGTGCAATACTAATGGTTTCGTTCTGTTACCATTAACCATTTGTTACTAATGTTTATGCTGTAAGATAGACTAAATTCGTTTCATTGATGTTAATCATTTCTTTGCAATTTACGATAAGAAACAAAATCAAGTCATGGGTATATACTTTTTCCCCAGTTTTCACAGAAAATAATATCTGTCATTCCCACACTTTTCTTTCTGTTTCGGCTCCTCTTGAACACCAATACGCAAACATTTTAAACAAATAAAACAATGACGTACGCATCGTAAATTTGGATTCGCCTTTTTCTCAATAATTGGTTTCTAACAAAAAGTTATTTCAAGAGTTATTATCGCTTTTTAAATGTTAATGAAAGTTTCTTATCAATGAATACGTCATTCCATTTCATGTCTATCATTCCAAGAGATCATTTTTTCCGTTACACTCTTTCACTTACCAATTTTCCGGAACCCTTTCTACTTACCAGTTTTCCGGAATTTTGGAAATAAGAAATATCTGCATGGTGCCATATATCAGGTTAACTTCTTTATTGAATTATTTTCCCTTTAAATGCTATTTAATCTGTGGCAAGTGAATTGTTTTTTGTTTTTCCATTGCTGGAAGTGAGCAAATAACTAGAATATTGGACATACCTCTTCTATGATTGTGTACTTTTCTAGAAGTGGTCGGTGGGGAGTAAGAAGGAGGAATGAAGGTGTAAAGTTAAAGGGCAATTGACATTTCTAATTCTAAAAGTAACATTGATTGTTGCGAATGAGCAACAATTAATTTTCTTTTTTCCTATCGTTAAGAAAAACTTTCAGGTTCGGGGCAGTTTTTTTTTCTTTTTTTTCCAGATTATATTTTAGTTGGTACTGTTCAGATAATTAGACATGTCCCGCCCACCCTCTATACATTTATTATTTCTAGATTATGAGCGAATAATGTCCAACGTACCCGCGCTTCTTGAGAAGTTGATAACTTCCCTAGGTGGTATAAGGGGTCAAAATGAAAACTGTAGGACCCATAATCGTGAAGTTAATTTTGGCACATATTAAATCAAGTTTTCAGAAATTGATCTGTGATGTTGACTGTTGGGTGATACATATGATGGGTAATACACTGATTCGTCGTAAAAATGCTGGCGTATTGCATTAGCTGACTTCATTTTTGCTTGTAAATTAATGAGTCGGAAGAGTTGCTTAGGGTGGTAATTACCGCCAAAGAACGATTCAAAACAGAATTGTTCTTTCACGAATTATAATTAATTATTGTTAGGAATGGAAAATAGGTCCACCTGCAGAATTCCTTTCATCAGAGGAAGAAAATATCAAAGTTTCACCAGATCATAATACACCATGGTATCTCTGTTCTCTGTAACTGAGAACCCCCTTTCAGTCATCAGTTTAGTGAGGGCTAACTTGACAAATTTGAATTTTCTTAATTGTTTTCAATACTGTATGTACTTAGTAGAGGAATGATAAAAACTGCGAATTTCCTCCACATTGGAAAAACCATCGTTCGCTAAACAGTGCTGCAAATTGTTTTGCTAATATAACATATAAATTAGAGTGTAACTGATCGGATGATCAGTTAATACAAACTATACTGATGAATTTCACGTTTAATTAGGTTTGTGTTTGTAAAAAAGAAACTTTAAAAATCTAATTCGGATTTATTTAGACGCCATACTTAGTGAAAAAGGTTATTGAGTGTTGTTTTTTTAACTTTCTGAAACATTTTGCTTAAACATTTGATTTGACAAAGTTATGCAAGTTACATGACGTCGTGCAACGTGTCTTCACATGGCGTACAAATACCATTAAAAAATGTTCTTGTTAATAGTGCTATAATATATTAAGCTGGTTTCAATCGAAACAAGCTGGCGGCTTTTATACGTTGCTGCAGATGCATAACATGTCCCCAGAATGTTGATCACAACGATGTCTCATATCAACCGAATTCAGGAGTACACATTTCCGGTATTTACAAATCAACACCAGGTTATCAGTTTAAAAACAAATTATTCCTATATATAGGATCAGGTTATTGGAATTGCTTGTAAGTAGTTCGTATACAATTAAAGTAATCTGTATGACTTCTCTGAAGTGTTATTGTATGAAAGAGTGAACTTTTTGAGAGAAAACTCGCACGAAAGATGGAAGAAATATTCAGAAGTAATTTTGGAAAGGACAACCATATATAAATGTATATGTTAAGACGTTCCAGTAGTCTGTACACTGTTCTGATTTTTTGATTGTGGAAGGAGAAAGAGAGACGTACTATTTCTGAAATTCTTGTTAAAAAGTTAGGAAGTGTAGAAAAAGCTTCTCGTTGAAAAAGTTGGGAAAAAAGTGTATAATAGCTCAGCAATCGTTGACTTCTCATTCGTTGTACAGGCATGCATGCGAATGGAAGGGTTTTTTTCTTTTTTTACGAGTATTTTATTATTAGAAATTTTTGAGGGACTGCAGTGAATTCTTTCGACTCAAATAAAAAAATGACTCAAAAAATCTAAATAATACTAGTCATTCCTTACAAGAACCCGGATTGTGTGAAGTAGAAAAAATCGATATTTCTCGGTGTAACACTGTTAGTGAGGAAGCTACCAGTTTTTTATGTGGAATTAAAATAGAATGTTTAAAAAGGAAGTGGAAAGTTAGCGTGATAGTGATTGGGTTTGATTTGATCCATTTTGTACACCACACGCAGGACATGCGTAACTAACACACGTCAACTCTATGCTCCGAAGTGAAGCAAGCACTACTCAGTTGTGACACAATTTCACCTCGCGTTATTTCTGGACGAGCAGTTCGTTTGGGGAATCTGTCAAGGTATTATGCTGCAGTAGACAATTATAGCACTATGGTTCAAGGGAATTTTCGCAACGAATACAAAAAACGCATATGATTGATGAATCAGAGTGATGGACGTGACTCCGAATTTCATTGTTTGTTCGTCCTGAGCACTGATCGCTAGAACAGCGGTGATGAAATGGAGGCACGTCATAGTTATTAACTCCTTGTATCTGTAGTTCGCTAAATGAATTTCAATGTTACTGGGATTTTATTGCAAAAAGTTATTATCTTTTGTATGACATATTTCAATAAACCAACTGGTGAAGCACTCTGGAATGGCATTCGAACGGTGAAGGAAGTTCAGTGTTTTCTTCCGCTCATATTCGTAGGGCATTCCTAAAATTCATTGAAATTCATGCACAAGGAATATCGCTGCATTTGTGGTATTGCGGATATGATTTCCGTATTATTCTTTACTCCTTCCGGTTCTTCATCTCTTAATGTGGAAAGAAATGATGACTCATCGGGTACAATATCATCCTGGAGGGACTTGGCTAAACTTTCATAAACGGAATTACTTCCTTTAAATCATGTTGCCAGTTGGTCTTCTTCGATAACTTTTAACAGGTAGCCGAAATACGACTGCTCTATCGACCCACTGTTTTGTTTTCTTTTGTGGAAGATGCTGATAATTAGCAGGGCTAACTTGTGGTAGAAAATTAAATACTTCGAAAGTATAACTTGATATGGAGGGGTTGATTTATATGGAAACCTATAGGCTCGTGATATTATAGTTCAATACATTTATGCACAAGTTTCTTGTTTCTTAAATTGATGGACTTACTACACAGTGATTCAACTATAAAGAGTCTCAACTTCCATCTTGTTGTGCGTATTTTGCGTGTTTCGAATTTTCAACTTGTCATTTTGCACTGGTTAAGACAGTGCGATATTTCCATCAGTAACTGTTAACGTTAAATCACTTCCAGCTGGAGTTGAGTGCGGACTGAAGAGGTACACAGCTGTGTGTATCCAGACATAAACGGGACATGCTGTCTGTTGGTTTACTGTTTTTGGGCATCTTCCGTAATGCCCAGGCATATCTTCTGCGTCCAAATGCCACAGGTCATTTTGGCCATGTCTTAAGACTTGTTGTATTTTCGAAATTATATGATGGATGGTTGCATATGCTTTGATTTGAATTATACAATTTGCCAAAGCTGATGAATAACCGTCAGGAGACCACCTTGCACTTTGTGTTTTCTGTTTCAGGATTCTCTGGCACGTTGTCGTTGAGCTCAGGAATCTCGTTTTAGAGAAGCTTGTAGATGTCTTTTAAGGACATTTACCAAAATTGTAAATTTTGGGGAGTTTTTTTATATGTAAGGAAGAGGTTATAGGTACATAATTCGAGTTCCAAAAACTCCATAAATTCCTCTTCCTACTTGAAAATAACCAGTTTCTCACAATTTTTTTGTGATTTAAGGTAATCTCATATCAAGGAATTGGTATTACAGAAAAGTAAGATCCCAAAACTTCCCTCTTTTTGGAGCTTAAAATACTTTACAACATCTTTTTTGTGTAACATTTCAGATAAAAGAAGCCGACGTGAAAATAGATCGGCAAGGGAACTATCGATGCCTCCAACTTCTAATCTTGTTATCAGTGGGGCAGCAGCTAGTGCTGTTTTCAAATCAGCCTGTGAAGAGCGGGTTCTGCTAGCTTATACTGATTATAACTCGGACATCACAAAGGTGAGAGGTGAGCTCAGCTAGCTGAGATAGAAGTGAAAATTTATCCACTCTGAAGTGCGCACCTAAAGGGGAGTGTTTCCATTCGAGGAGTTATTTTGCGCTTTACGCTCGATTTCTCGGCGATCTATTTCAGGTTGTAAATTTATTTTCAAAGTATGGTGAAACGGTGAATACAGTACGTGTGAGTAACGATGCTGTTAAGAGCGTACTAGAAATAGTTGGATGGCCATCAATGCCGCTTATTTTTGTTAAGGTGTGTTTGTATACATTACGCTAGGATTGTTTGCAGTTTACTGGGATTGCTTATTTATTGTTTGTTGTCTTTGCTAGTTTGCAACTACATGTCGAAACGACTGTAAAAAGGACCTTGAAAAAAAGGTATAGCCGTTGAACCTTTTCCAATTCACTATTTAGTTTTCTTAGTTTATCAGGGTTCAGTAAATCACAGTTTAAAATTGAAAAGGTGGCTACATGTATAGGGATTGTTAGTAAAAGGCACTTATATTTACGGTCGGTTCATTCTTTTTCGCGTTTTAGGGAAACTGTTGTGGTAGCTTTAAAGAACTTTATCAACTGGAGGAAAATGGTTCGTTGAATGAATGGTTGAAGGAACATCAGTATGATCTTGCTGTTGTTGGAGGCGGTTCTGGTGGTCTAGCAGCTGCAAAGGTTAGGTCTAATTGTTGCCTAAAAATATTGCAAATTTTGTATTTAGGCATTCTTGTTCACTTCCCATTCTAGGAGGCTGTTCGTCTAGGTAAAAAAGTGGTTTGTTTGGATTTCGTCAAGCCATCAACAATGGGAACAACTTGGGGTTTGGGTGGAACTTGTGTTAATGTGGGCTGTATACCGAAGAAACTGATGCACCAAGCTGCACTTTTGGGCGAATATATCGGTGAGTTCTTTGTATACTGTCGTTTCCTATACTTCAGCTTTTTTATTTGATCGTCAGTTCTTCAGTGACTAAATAGTTGCAGAAGATGCTAAGAAGTTTGGTTGGGAAATACCTGAAGGTGCAATAAAACTGAACTGGCATCAACTAAAAAACGCTATACAAAATCATATTACTTCGTTGAATTGGGCATACCGAGTTCAATTGAGAGAAAGATCAGTCCGTTATTTTTCCTTTTTATTATAAAAATTTCCTTTTTAATATAAAGAAATATAACTAATACAAATTTTTTTTCAGTATAAGTTTTTCTTTTAAATATATGCTCCGCAGTATTATAAATAATGCAACTGTTGTGCGATGCAATTTGAAGTAAAAAGCTTGGCTTCTTGCTTTATTATGGTTTACTTTTCGAAGTAGAGTAAGAATTCTCCCCGGAAGTAGCAGGCGTTATAGCAGTCAGTAAAGTTGCTTAGCACCATATATTTAAATGGGACCTATGATCAAGGATTATGGTATGTCCTGCAAAGAAAAACGTAGTTATATAGATTAGATTTTATTTCAGGTGACTTATATGAACTCGTACGCTACTTTTACTGGTTCACATGAACTAAGTGTCAAAAACAAAAAAGGGAAAGTTGAAAAAGTCACTGCTGACAGGTTTTTGATCGCTGTCGGATTAAGACCACGCTTTCCTGATGTTCCAGGAGTACTGGAATGCTGCATTAGCAGGTATATCCATATACTGTGTATATGTGACTCAACTTGAATTCATTTGGCTTAACTTATTCGGAATTTATATTTTCATTGCAGTGACGATTTGTTTTCACTCCCCTATAATCCGGGCAAAACCCTTTGCGTTGGTGCATCATATGTTTCGCTGGAGTGTGCTGGATTTTTGAGAGGTATTGGTAATGACGTAACGGTTAGTTTTATTAAAGGATTAGCTTTTGCAATATATTTTGCTTTAACTTAAAATATTATTTCCGAGATTTCTCTTTTAAAGAGTTTCTTTTTATTTTGCCACTTCCTTTTCTGCTTCGATACACAATTACTGCTGAGAAATTTAACTCTGTAAACTCTTCATAAGAAATCCTGTATCCAGATGTGAGCGCCATGATTTTTTGTTTGCAAGTTGACTTCTGCTATGAAGTCTCTATTCTCAGGACTGTTATTCACTGATGTTTTCTTCTGGTTCAGGCTTTATTGTTTCTCATACTGGAAGGGATTTCAGGTTATGGTTAGGTCAATTTTATTGCGTGGTTTGGATCAGGATATGGCAGAGCGCATTAAGAAACATATGATAGAGCATGGCGTCAAATTTGTTCCGTTTGTTTTTTTGCTACATTACAATGAAGTAATGCGGGGAATTTTTTATACACCATTTTCTAGATTTTCACTAGCTCTTGCACTGGAGATTGTAATACACTGACGACTGTCTTCGATCAAAAAACTTTTACTGTAATGTCGTGTTTCATATTTCAGTGCTCTGTGCTGAACGTTTCAGAGTTCGTGCAAAATTTTTTTGTGCACGCAGTAAAGAGCAAAATGTTTGCTAGAGGAGTTAGTTGTGCGGAAAATGGAACTCAAAGAAATTCAGTGGTTATTGTAATGTGTGTCTCTTCCTTTTTAAGGTATATACCAGGGGTATATAAGGTATATAACTATTAAATATTAAAATATTTAAGGTATATACCTATTAAATACGAAAAACTCAAGGAGCCAACCAACAATGAACCAGGATTGATTAGAGTTCATACTGTTCAGGAACGTGAAGATGGAACGAAAGAGGAAGTTGCGGAAGAATTTAATACAGTATGTTTCCTATTTGTTTCTGTCGTTGAGTGATTTCCTTTCTACAGTCCGGTATATTTTTTATGGTATGCGAACAGAGTGTGATTGTTCTTTCAACAGGTCTTGATGGCAATAGGACGTGATGCTATGACAGGTGATCTTGGTTTGGATCTGGTCGGTGTAGACTGTACAGAGTTTGGTAAAATAATTGGAAGAAGAGAGCAGAGTGTTAGTTGTCCTTATGTGTATGCCATTGGTGATGTGCTACATGGCTCTCCGGAACTTACACCTGTTGCAATACAAGCAGGTAAAGTTCTAATGCGACGCCTCTTTACTGGAAATTCTGAGCTAACCGAATATGGCAAAGTACCAACAACAGTATTTACACCGTTGGAATATGGTTCATGTGGATTATCTGAGGATGCTGCTATCCAAAAGTGATTTTTTTGCGGTTCAACTTTATATATGAATAGGTCGGGCACAAAAGTAATTTTGGTTTAGAGTTCTGAATTTCAGATCACTATAACTAGATTTTAATTTGCTTGTGTTGGTTGCGGAAACGTTTCCATTGGTTTCATTCAAACCTCTTATAAGCTCTGTGCATTTCGAATTTTTTAGGTATGGAAAAGAAAATATCAATGTGTATCACAACATGTTCATTCCTCTTGAGTACGCGGTGACGGAACGAAAGGAAAAAACGCACTGTTACTGCAAACTGATCTGTCTGAAGAAGGAACAAGTAATTACTCTTTGTTGTAGTTCGAGTTCAAGGTGCGTGGAAAGTACAGTTCCTCGATTTTATATGTTTTTACTGGCATGGTTTCACTTTGTTAAATTCCAGGACTTGGTTCTTGGTTTTCATATCCTCGCACCAAACGCGGGTGAAATAACACAAGGCTTTGCAATCGCTTTGAAATTTGATGCGAAAAAAGCCGATTTTGATCGATTGATCGGTATTCATCCAACTGTTGCTGAAGTATGTTTCATGAATCACTTGATCTAGCCTTGTTTATTCGTAGACTATAGTATTCACCTTAATTTCCTTAAGATGACTTTTAGAATCATTACGAATATCGTGTTTAGGGAATTTTAAAGAATTTACCGATATTTACATTTCAGAACTTCACGACACTAACGTTGCTTAAAGAGGATGGGCAAGCACTGAAGGCTACAGGATGCTGAGGTTAAAGTGCGACTGTTATTTATGCGCAAATAACAGTCAACAGCTTTATAATTGAAACAGCTGCGCGTGGACTGCGCGATTCATCACACATCCAGTGTGGTTATGTGACGAATTTGGGCTAAACTCCGCTACGAGCGCCCATTTTCCGATGGTTTCAGTTTGAGAGCTTTTTTTTTCTACTATCGGTTCCCTATTTCCTATTTTTTTTTTTTTTGACTGTTTACTTTGGATTGAATAATAGTAATATATATTTAAATATACTGAATTTCGAATGCTTGTTACGAACGATGTTGATGTTGAATGCTATATATCCATAGGTGTATATAAAGGTCTTACCTTCACAAAAACAAGACATAACACTTAACGTGAAACATTCACCCAGGCAACTTGCCTGTCTTAGCTCCATATATCTAGATAACCTAGCCTGAGTTGATATCATCTGTTGCAAATTATGAAAATGGTAAACGCATCTGGAGAGGTTCTTCTGCAGAAGTCACCATTTGGAATTGTATCGTATGGTTGGAGTCAAACATTTTTCTTATTCCGTTTATTTGCTAATACATTCTTGGAAATGGAAATACTGCGAAACAATCTAGGTGTGTGAGGTACTGAACTCGCATGTCAAGCGTGGCAAAAAGGACAGTTTCTTAGTCTTGATTTAAGTGAATGCATTAAAGTGAGTTTATGTTGTGAAATACGAAGAGAAATTGTTGGGTGTTGTGAACATCTCAGCTGCTTTGTTAATGATGAACAGTCCTCTGCTCTGAATTAAGTCACGGTATGATGCCCTGAAGGCTTGTTTCATTCTTTGCATTATTTGCACCAATTTATTATATAAATTAGCTATCGTTTTCAAAACGTTAATGCTCGGCTTTTTTTTCTAACATTAAGGGCATAACTGGATCAATATCGATTACTATCAGTTTTTGAAGGGGTGTGGTGTCATAGATGTTTCCTTTATTTTACCTGATGTGGATAAGAAAGTTTTAGGTCAAAAAGCTATTCTTGAAAGAGTGGGACCCTATAAATCGAAATGGTCTAAGGCCCTTGTAGACCTCTTCGGACTTTTCAGGATTTGAAAGGCCGAGGATTTTTCTGGACAAAATGCATCGACAAACAAGTTATGGAAGTATATACCCATACCGGGTGCTTAAACTATTTTAGTTCTTATGCTCAAGAATCTTGAGGACCTGAATTTCCTGATGCTCGTGGGTTCTGAGAAGTTACCGAAACGATCTCTGTAATCCTGATAATAAATTTGATTGTAATATGTTTCATCTTAATCTGGTTGCGAAATGTGCACAAATATCCGGTGCCCACAGTTACGTATTATTATCCACACCTGACAGCAACACGACCATTGAACTGTGTTTGAATTAGATACTGCATAAGTTTAATTATTATTGATTCGTTGCCTCTGAGATTTCTATACAATGAATTGCACAAAGATTTTTGAATTGGACAAATTAAGTTGACAAATGGCATGTTGGCGATACAAGTCGCGAGAAAAAAATACTGTGACATCCGATATGGAGTGTGCTATCACCACCTGGAATAACTTGTTACCTACTTCCCATCCCTGAGCTGTTCATAGGAGGTAGAGTGCCGAGGATCTGATCACTAGATAGCAGATTAGAAGAAAAACCCCTTATGTTAAACTATGTAGAGCATTAGCAGTTTTCAGTGTATAGGATAAACAAATATCAGCAACTC